GCTGTAAGCAAGTCGAACGCACCCAATGACCGGACTGGGGAAACAAACTGAAACGCGGACTTAATACAGAGAACTAATGACAACAACCAGAAACAACTGATCACATGGGGGATCCCACACGAGGTTAATGAGGGGGCGTGGCACACGGAAGGAGCGGAAGATCGGAGAAGGGTCCAGCTGCAGACGCCTGTAGAGTGGAGCTCCACCGGAAATTCGTCACCTCCACAGGAAACATGTGGCCTCAACTCTGTGTCACAGCGAATAAACCCTAACCTTAACCCTAACCCTAACCGGAGCTCCACTTTACGTCCTTAAAGATCACGTGTTTCCTGTGGAGGTGACGTATTTCGAGTGGAGCTCCACTCTACAGGCGTCTGCAGCTAGACCCTCTTGGACGATCGGGGCAGGACAGGAGTAATGTTGGGATAATATCTTTATCATTTTGGAAGCCATTAAGAAAAAAATGCTCTTCTTGTTTTATCCTGTTCATTTTGTGTTTAAATGATGGTTAATGGTTCTGAAATAAATAAATAAAAAAAAAAACATATTTAGGTGTAATTTTGGGGGGCTGGGGGGCCGGGAACCAATTAATTGGTTTTCCATTATTTCTTATGGGAAAAATTCGATCAGAACTCGAACTTTTTAGGATTCGATCAGGAGTCCGGGACAGATTAAGTTCGAGAACCGAGGTACCACTGTATATTACATCGTGATTATATAGTGCATGCACAATAATCACCTGGGCTTTAGATGACGGGCATAAACATTTGTTTGGACACTGGCTTTTCGGTACTATATGAACATTTACTTACACTTACAATTTAGTAAGCAGATTAGCAGTACGCCTAAAATATTAATGCGAGGCGCATTGTGATGTGACCAAAAGTTAATTCTGTATAAATCTGACTGACATCTTTTTACCTTATTCACAATATCTCCTCTTTCAAAAGATGTTGTGGCTGTTCAGCTGTCCCTTTCTTCACCACCAAATCAGTGTTATCGTTTCCATCACACACCAAAACAGTAGTATGTGGCATGCTTCGGTAACTGATTTTATGAACATAAGGCTTTATTATATAATTATATATTGTATAAACATTTATACAGATTACTAACTTTTGGGTGTCACAGTATGCATCTCATTAATATTTTAGGAGTACTACTAAACTGCTTACCAAATTGTGGGCGTAAGTAAATGTCCGTATAGTACCGAAAAGAACGTGACAGAACAAATGCTTACGCCCATCATCTAAAGCCCTGGCGATTATTGTGCATGTGCCATATAATTGCAATTATGTTGTGATGTGATATCGTGCAGGCCTACACACACATGCACAAACACTCACAGAAGAGTTTGTAAGCCCAGGAGCCCCATTCCCCTGAAGTCAGTCTTGGGGTCACTGCCTTGGAAACCAATATCACACCACTGCTTGGAGATGCGCCCACTCAGAGGAGATTCGGGGCGAAGTGTCCTCCACAACTACGGTGAAGAAGACAGAGGTCATGTATCAAAGATATGAAACGAAGGTCAAACCTGACCATAAATATAACAGCACACCTATAAGTTTTGGTAAGATGTATGTATAGATCTGTGGGCTTCAGTGAACACAGGTACAGAAAAGTTTGGACGCACCTACCCATATAAATGTTTTTTTTTGTACTATTCTCTACATTTTAAAATAATTCTAAAACATCAAAACTATAAAATAACACATTTGGAACTATGCACTGACCAAATAAGTATTAGACAAAAAAATGTTGGGGGGGGGGCAGCTCTGTGGGTTGGAACTCAGAAGTTTGCTGGTTCAAATCCCTGGGTTGGCAGAGTGATCCCACCATTGGGCCCTTGACCAAAGCCCTTAACCCCAATTGCTCCATGGATTGGCTGAACCTCCATTCTCCTCTAACCTATTTTCATGAGGTGGTCATCTGGGATACTTTTCCAGCTGTCCTGAAGGAGGTCCCACGTATGCTGAGCACTTCACAATCTGGTCAAAGTACTCCAACCATTTCTATTGTGCAGGTCAAGTGGCCAGTTTATGTGATGCGGCCCACTATCACTGTCCTTTGTAGGAGGCTTGGTGTGTCCAAACTTTTGAATGGTACCATGTGTAGGTGATCCAGTGTTATCTGCACCTTCAGCAGCATTTCCTCATGATCAGGGTTCTCACAGTCATATGGCTCTCTTCGCAGCTTCTCCACCTCAACCACTAGGCTCCTGTAGCCCACAATCTGGTAGAGGCTGGCCTGAAGAGAGATGGCCAACCTGGGCAAACATAGAACACAATGTCCCTCAGCCACCTGTTGCTGCTCCACCGAAAGAGACAGAACCACAGCACAGGTGTGGACACGGTGATGCCCTAGACAGAACCACAGCACCAGTGTGGATACAGTGATACCCTAAGACCAGGGTTCTTCAACGCTGGACCTCGATTCCAAATCTTCAGTTCTCCCAGGTAGTTGTTTAATAATTACTGATTCTGACTGGTCAGAGGCTTCACACCTGACTGACAGGTAAAGAAAGGCTGGAAAACCAGCAGTGCTCGGACCTCGAGGACTGTGAGTTGAATAACCCTGCCCTAGACAGAACCACAGCACAGGTGTGGACACAGTGATGCCCTAGACAGAACCACAGCACAGGTGTGGACACAGTGATGCCCTAGACAGAACCACAGCACCAGTGTGGATACAGTGATGCCCTAGACAGTACCACAGCACCAGTGTGGATACAGTGACGCCCTAGTACTAATCCAGGTGTTGCTAAAAAGTCTCATTTCAGATATTAAGTTCATTTGCTTTGTTTTTATACTAGCTTTTTCTCATAAAGGAGACATATTATGCTCACTTTCACTGTTCATAATTTTATTTTTGGGGACTACTAGAATAGATTTACATGCTTCAATGTTCCAAAAACATATTATTTTTCTCATACTCTTCACCTCTGTTCACTCTGTTTATAACTCTGTCTGAAACGTTATTAGAGCTTTAAGCCCCACACTTGATGAGCCCATTGTACTCTGATTGGTCAGCGGCGCTACGTGTTCCGCCTCTGTCTTGCAGTTTTCATACATATCCTTGCAGGTAGACCGCCAATAAGAATTGTGTTACGAGATGACTTCACCATGTCAAGAAAGCAAGGGCTGGAATTCCGACGAGGCATTTTAGACAAATAAGAGGGGTTTCTGTGGTGAGACCTACTCCCTTTGGCATGTACTTAAGCCTATGGAGAATGTTTACATGCACATATAACTACATAACACAGTAAAGTAAAGGGAAAATCCAGAAAAGAATAGTAGGACCCATTTAAATGCAAATTAATTATAGTCCTGTCTTACTGTGGGTTTGTGTCAGGGTTGATCTTTTTTAATGCCATAATGACATCAATGGTCTTCTCAACAGAGTCTGCATGGACATTGACAGCAGACTGCAGGAGCTGGGAAGGATATAATAATAATAATAATAATAATAATAATAATAATTCATTTGTGGAAAATAATTATATCCCATAGTATAAAATTTAAGGAGGTTTCCAGGTAAAACGCTTCCCTGTTTTGTTTTATTTTCATAGACGAACCCCTTAAGGACCCATACAAAGCTAAGTGATGTGTCTCACCCCACTCTTGGAGAACTTGAGAGATGATTCTGAAAAGAAAACACAGGAAGAGTCATCTCAGAAGCCCATCTAAAGTAAGGCTAGTATTCTAGTATTAAATCCTGCTGTTTCAGTAAAATTAAAATGTTTCATTTAAGACAACATGCGTTAGTATAAAATATAGCAGTTACTTGGACACTTCCAAAAATGAAAGAATTACATAACTTTCCATTTTCACTCAGCCATCTTGCTGAGTGGCTTAGAAGCTCATCGATTAAAAGTGAGCAACTTAAATGGCAGATGGAACGGCATAAAAATCAAGGCAGCCAAACAAATGGCAAAACGGTCATTTTCAGTGGTATCGCTTTCACTCGCAAAGAAACCTTTCTTGACAATACTCTTAGTGAAACAACCAATAGCCATAGTTATAGCTACCTTTCCTATGGGTAAGATAATTATGTTATACTCATTACAAATTCTTCATAATCTAAAGTCAAGGAAAAATGTGAGAGAAAAGTCAAATATCAGAATCTTACATAGTTGGGGCACTAGATAGCACATGTCAAAAATAAGATGTAAGTGAGGGACTAATTTTAAATTAATTCAATCCAAGCCAATTGTTAAGAAAAACAATTTCACATGGATGCATAATGCATAGGAGCGGCACATTGGCACAGTGATTAGTGCTGCTGCCTCACAGCCAAAAGGTCCTGGGTTCAGTCCCCGGGTTGGGTGTAGGACTCTTCTGTGTGGAGTTTGTGTGGGTTTCCATTAGGGATTCTGGTTTACTCCCATAGTCCAAAAGTGTCCATGGTAGGTAAATTAGTGAATCTAAGTTGGCCCTGTGAGTGTGTGTTGGTGACTGCCCTAGGTTGGTTCCTGGGAAAGGCTCTAGTCCAGGGGTCTCCAACTCCGGTCCTGGAGAGCTACTACCCAGTAGGTTTTCTATCCTACCTGGCTTCTGATGAGCCACACCTGCTCCTGGTATTTACCTGAGAACTGGGGCCTGTACTACGAAGCTGGATTACTGGCTTATTGGGGCAACTTGTCGGATTTAAGGTAGTCTGGGTAAAATGTAAGTGAACGAATATGAAGTCCATTTAAACTGTGGTACCTTAAATCCGACAAGTTACCCCGATAAGCCAGTAACCCCGCTTCGTAGTACAGGCCACTGGTGTGGTTCATCAGAAGCCAGGTAGGATAGAAAACCTACTGGATAGTAGCTCTCCAGGCCCGGAGTTGGAGACCGCTGCTCTAGTCCCAGCTGAGATTAAGTGGTGATGGATGAATATTTGTGATAATAGAAGCCAATCTGCATATGCTAGTGACATTGCTTCTTACCCTATGTCTAGAATTTCTTATACTCAGACTGACTCGGGGGTTCAGAGTCATCCACCTACCTATCTTCAAGGTCCGGCGGGCGCCTGGTTTGTTGTTGTAACAGATGCGCTGCATCTCACACCGTCCCGTGACCTTTCGGGTCACGAACTTCAACGTCCTCCACAGAAATTTGCAGTACAGGAACATAAAAAACTGTGCAAGTGTACTGTGGGGGGAGCGAGAGACCGACACAGTTACAGGAAACAATGACCATAAGCCTGATGACTCTGCTCCAGGACGTGCATCTACACAACATGAGTGTGCCATGCTGAGGAAGACAGGAAAGGAGAGCACAAGGCATTGGGTTTAAAGACACAGAAAATTGTTATGGTCACAGGACTCCCAATAAACACATTAAATATGGTTAAAAAATAATAAGCACATTGATGATTGTACTATATAATTAGGATTTGGAAGTTTTGGGTTAAACCTGTCAATAAACTGGGGGGACCGTATGCTGTTCATTTATAATCTGGTCATACTGAATATTTTAAGTGTGTTTTTGGGTCAGTTGAGATGAAGGGAAGGTTACTCGCCTGCAGATAACCATTGGCTTTGCAATGTAAAAACGCGACTTTATTATTTAGACAAATGAAAACCACTATGCCCGACTGGATGCTTCACGGTTCATTAGTCATAGTTAAAGTCAGACCCCATGCCAGTGTTCTGTCATAAAATACTACCTATGGTGCTATGGAGCCTTTCTGCGCATGTGCAGTTCCAACCTCTTGGGATTAGGGTTAGGTTTTAGGGGCTATGAGTGTAAATGTGATTGAATGAACACCGGTACCGGGTTCTCCTATACGGGGGAAGCTGGGATCATTACGGGCCGTACTGTTATGTCACATGTGCTTCCGCATCAGTGTGTTTAATCATCAGCGACTCTGTGCTGGTCAATGTGCGCCGTGTTTCTTCTGCCAACTGATAATGTTAAGATAATTATCCAAATTAATTATAATCTATTATATAGCGTTACATTTTACTAATTAACCGAATATTTTATTTAAGGGATGCCTAATATTAGATGGTTAATCAAAATCAGCTAGGCCTAACTATTGCTTTTGTTAAATATCGTAGAAATATAGTTAGGTGCTGGTACTTTTGGAATGTGTTTTCCGTAAGGGCTATTAAAATCGGCCTGGGGCAGAATGTTAGACTCACGTTTCCAGCACCTCTGAAACTACGCGAGCTTTTCAGTTAAGCGCTTCGGCAGAACTAGTGAAAAGCCCGCGTAGTACTACCGAGAGAGCAGTTACTAAGGGAGAATTGATTAGTCGCGAGCAATAATGAAGGATTCAGGACGTGCGCCGGTGCGCGGTGAACCAGTAAAAAGCGGTCGATCGATCGGACGGTGGCGTGCTGTTCGTTACACTGGTGTCGGATGTACAGGCTCTATCTATCATCTATCTAATCTATCTCTTATCCCTTGCACACAGGTAGGCCTACAACCCTCATATACTATACCATGACCAAAACAATCATCTTCTAGAAATATTACTTTAATTCACACAAGCAATATGTCACTAGTTCCCTGTGCATTTCCTTTCAGCACCACTATGAACTATCTGTATAGAAAGGTATTAGAGACAATTAAGCTCCCTTTACTAACCTACCCAGATAGCATAAGTACATTGAAAAAATGTTGACTTGTGATCACACTTCATCGTTTAATGTTGGAGATGGAAAAATAACTATCATTCAACACTGAATGATCCCTTTTTCAGCAGTGTCAGTTAATGTTGAAAATTTGACATTGAATCAATATTGATTCAGAGGAGATTTGTGGTTATGGAGATGCCGATGCCTGACAGGCGCCGATAGCTCGACGTAAGCGCTTCTGCGCATGCTCACAGTCAACCGACCGAGTGGCGCGAAGAACAAGCAAAGCTCCGACCTAAGACCGAAGTTGAAGTTTCTGAGGTAACTTTAATTTACTCTTAAGTCTAAGGATGTGTATGGACATGGCGTTCTGATATCACTTAAAATGATTTTTAATCGTTATCTGATTTTGCGTTTTGTATAAATATAACCTTAACGTATATTTATTACACTGGAAAAAAACACTAATTTAGGCGGGAATGTTTGCTAATTAGCTTCAAGCTTAGCAGTTCGTCTGCTAACGTTACTTTGTGTACAGAATTCTGGACAGCGACAGATTTTTCTCGAACTTTTTTGGAGGTAGCGCTGACTTTTCCAAACACTGTTATTCTGATCACAGATTAGCTAGGCCAGTAATAATTTGGACCCTGCAACAATCTTTTCTGTCGCCTTTTACACAGTGGCCAGTTAATTTAACCCCGCGTGTGACGTTTTGAATGTTTTATACTGAGATTGGAAAGCATACCTTTGAGGAAGATGTACATTATGCAGTTAATACGTAACATAAGCGGACTGCGTCATTCACATACAGCTAAAGAAATATCTAAATGAAAAATATTAACCAATAAATAAATTATTTATTTTTACAAAAGTATTATCATAATTATGTTAAGACAAAAATGTGAATGCGGCTATCATTCTGCAGTCACGTGGTCAAAGAGCTGTATGTGGCTTGCGAACCGCAGGTTACCGACTCCTGACAACTGGTATGCAAGTACGCATTCACCTTTAAACCTCTACACCGCAAATGAAGTATGAATTAGCATATAACGGTTAGAATGCACGGTAATTTCTTGTTATATCGGTGCAAATGCACATAAGGTAGGTACGTATGTATTTGCGCTGTTACATTAATCGATTGCCGCACGTATCGCTTTTGGAGGTGAATGCGTCTTTTGTACCAGTTATGTCCAACCCTGTCTATAACAAGAAGTGGCTATTACTCTGTTTACTTTTATTGATAGTGTCATAAGTGTACTAGTATAAAATCCTTGCAAATGGCAGTTTTTCTTTGTTCCCTGTCTTTTTCAAGCTTAGTGGAGATTAATAGTAATTAAAGTGTCCTTTAATTTGGGTAATAAATAATTTTTCCTCACTGTACCATCTGTACCATTCCTTTGGATTTTGACAAATAGCATGGCTTCCTATTGGGCAAAAAGGAGAAGGGTCTTAAAAAGCACAAATGAAACAGAAAATGATATTTTAAATAATTTTGAATCAGCTATTGCATGTCAGTGTATAAATGCTCCCTCCAGTGAAACTCTTCATGATACATTTTGTCTGATTACTGATGAAAATGAGTCTGATAGTCACACAACTCAAAATGACTCAGAAGTGCAAAGTGCAACTCCCAGCAATTCATCAGATCTGGATGAGGGTGAATTTTGTCAGGAAGGAGAGCTTAATTTTAAATTGAGGCACTGGGCTAAAACATTTTCTGTTCCACTTGTTGCTCTGACTTCTCTTCTTTGCATTCTACAAGTCTACCATCCTCAGTTGCCAAAAGATGCAAGAACATTACTTGGCACACAGTCTAGAGTTATAGTGAAACGTGTAGGTGGTGGGGAATATTACCACTTCGGTTTAGAGAAAGGGTTGATCTCAAAATTGCAGTCCATCCAATTGCCTGACTTGTTGAACACAATAAAGATGCAGTTCAACATAGATGGTCTGCCTTTATTCAAGAGCTCTAAACTTCAGTTTTGGCCAATTCTGTCAATGATTGACTGCGACTACACAAAGACACCCTTCATTGTTGGCCTCTTTTGCGGATCAGGAAAACCACACAGCGTATTTGAATATTTAAAGGATTTTGTGGATGACCTCTCCAAATTGTTAGTTAATGGTGTGACCTATGATGGTAAAACCTTGAGGGTCATTGTGTCATCCTTTGTGTGTGATGCTCCAGCACGTTCGTTTATTAAACAGGTTAAGTCTCACAATGGCTATTCAGGATGTGACAAATGCCATCAAGTTGGTGAGTGGCGAAATAAGATGACATATAAAGAGACCACAGTGAGAAAAAGGGCTGATGATGAGTTTTTTGAAATGGTGGATCAAGATCATCATCTAGGTCATAGTCCACTCACTGGGATAGTGAAGATGGTGTCAATGTTCCCCATTGACTATATGCATCTCTGCTGTCTAGGCGTCACTAGAAAACTAATACATTTTTGGTTGAGAGGTAAAAATTTGTTGACACGATTACCTTCCAGAGTAGTTTCTGCAGTGTCTGAGAAACTGGTTAATCTTCGCCCATACACACCTTCAGAATTTGCTCGAAAGCCTCGTGAATTGAGTGAAATAGACCGCTGGAAAGCAACAGAATTGCGTCAGTTTATGATTTACACAGGTCCTGTGGTTCTTAGAGGCAACCTTCCAGAAGAGCTGTATGACAACTTCATGCTATTTTCTGTCGGCATGTTCTTGCTGCTGTGCCCCGGTCTTTCAGCCTCAATGATTGACTTTGCTCACAGACTGATGGTGGCCTTTGTTGATCACTTTGGCCAGTTGTATGGCCAGGATGAAGTGGTGTTTAGCATACACCAACTGATACATTTGTCTGATGAGTATTGGCTGCTTGGCCCTCTTGACAATGTGTCATCTTTTCCATATGAAAGTTTCCTTGGGAAAATTAAAAAAATGTTAAGAAAGCCAAATCAGCCATTACAACAAATTGTGAAAAGGCTTTCTGAGGTTCCAAGTGTTTTTGTCCAGCCCCATAGTGAACAGACTGAATTACTGGAACTTCATCAGAAAGGTCCATTGCCATTTCAGTTAAGCTCTGTTCAGCAGTACAAAAGAATCGTAACCAGGGATTTTTCATTTTCAACACATAAGGGAGACAACTGTGTCATAATAGGGAGTAAAATTGCTTTGGTGCAAAACATACTGAAATCCGATGCAGTCTGTGTGGTTTATCAGAAGTTTAAGAATTGTCAGTCGTTCTTTTCGTATCCCTGCCCCTCATCGTTAATTAATTGTTACCTGGTTGATGGATTGGATGAAGAGTTTGCTGTGGGAAATCTGATGAATATTAACAGGAAATGTGTGTTGTTCCCATATAATGAGAGTTTTATTGCAATTCCTCTACTTCACCTAAACATGAGCTTTTGATTTGATACTAGTATACACACAATTTATAGTAAGCTTTTTTCTTGTTATAATCCTTGACACATTCAGAAATACAAAGGACATGGTACAGTTGTGGAAAGTGGTGGAGTTTGAGGACAAAGGTACAGCTATTGCACCATCCAACTGGCTGAATGAGACGGATAATGAGAAGACATGCTACTGGCCACCATTTGATGGGCAGCGACTTCATAAGGCTGTCATAGACCACATCCTACCAGAACAGGGCTGGTCCATTCACAGGCATATAAGAGTGTTGGCAAGCTGTGGTAAGTATAACCTTAATTTTTTATTTTCTTTAAAAAAAAAAAAAAAAAAAACCATTTTAACTCAAAACTTACTTTTTATGCTTCCAGTATCATATGATAAAGCCAAACAATGTCTCAAGAAGTCTGTACAGGTACAACCAGATTGCCCAACAACAGACATTCAGTCAGATGAAGAAATGGCTGTGAGGCAGAAAAGAAGAGCGAAGTAAACAAGAACATTTGACAATTCATTTTGTGTTTGCTTTTATATATATATTTGTGTGTGCATGTATGTATGTATATGTATGTATATATATTTTTATGTATGTATATATAAAAAATGTGTGTTATTCTGCCTAAAGGCCTAATCCCCGATACATGGGGGACAGTGACGATGATTATAATGACAAACATGCTCCCAAAAGAAGAGTTCCCCAACCTAAAGTTGTTATGCCAGGTATGGTATTAGGAACAGGCGCTTATTTTATTAATGCAATATTATTAATATTATTGATTTCCATATCCTACACCTTTCAAACTAAGCCACTAAAAATTTTATGTGTGTTTTTTCATTTCATTTACATTTCTTGCATTGCACTAGTTTGACCATCCATTCACCTCTCTTTTATGTTTCGCTGCTTTGAAAAGTTTTTCAAACTTCCCTTTTTAAATTTGTTTTCAGTCCAAGGCCTTGCACAGCCTGAACAACACAACTGGTATTGCACCTCACAGCGCCCCAGCAATGGTAATCAAAACTTGGGTATTTTTATTATTAGGCTATCGCTTTGCATTATTTATTGTAAGTTGGTACACATTTCTGTTCTGCAGATTGGAACACTGACAGATGGCAAAATGAAAATCACCAAAGAGGTAAATATGGTCTTATTGTTTAGTTATAGCCATGTGGTAACTTGGCAGAGCCTTTTAAAATATCTGAAGTCAGTTTGATGATAAAATGCACATCAATATTTAATCTGACTCGTTGCTAGAAATATAACCTATATGGACAACAAATAAGGTTTCTCAGTAAAGCGTAGAATAGTAAAGAATTTAAATTTTGTGTTTCTTAACTGATTAC